ACTTTCACGCCAGCTGTGAGGGGCCCATGAGTCTTAATGACCCAACTGCAAAGTCTTGAGGTTAATCTGATCTTTGGCTTAGGCCTCACAGTAAGCCTGCTCCTGAGTTTGCTTTGTTCTAGGTGTCCTAACATTTTCCTGCTTGCTTTTCTTTCTTTCACTGTTTGGTCACCCTTTGTCCTTGCCAAATGATAACTTTCTTTTTATTTCACATTGTTCCTAATACCCAGCCCCTCATTTGGGTCATGGGAGGAAAGGTAAGAAGCTTCTAGTTTTATTTTCCACTTTAGGAATCTAACTCTCTTCATGTGACTCCAATGATTTGGGGCTACTCAATAAAACTTGACTAGCCAGGCATGGTGGCACACGCCTGCAATCCCAGCACTTGGGAGGCTGAGGCAGGAGGATCATTGCAAGTTCGAGGCCAGCCTGGGCTATGAAGTGAGCTCAAGACCAGCCTGAACTGCATAGCAAGACCCTGTCGCAAAAAGACAAAAACAAAACAAAACAAAACCAATTTGACTGATCTTGAAGCCAGAACAAAGGTACAAAGGATATAACTAAGGCGCATCAATAACCCAGTATTTGCTGTCTCTCTCTGTTTTCTTTCTTTCTTTTTTTTTTTTGAGACAGGGTCTTGCTGTGTAGTTCAGGCTGGCCTGAGTTCACTATGTAGCCCAGATTGGCCTTGAACTCATGGTGATTCTCCTGCCTCAACCTCCCAAGTGCTGGGATTACAGGCTTGTGCCACCATGCCCAGCTTGCTTCATATTTTGTCTAACTCCCTACCAGAGCATTGTTATTATTATCATTATTGTTATTATTATTATTATTTTGGAGAGGGTGTGTGTTGGGGGGTGCTGGGGACTGAACTCAGGACCTATCCACTGAGCTATATCTCTAACCATATTTATTTTCAGTTTTTAAAATCTTTTTCTTTTTCTTTTTTTTTCGTCTTTTTGAGACAGGGTCTCACTATGCAGTTGCTTGAGCTCACTTTACAGCCCAGGCTGGCCTCGAACTCATAACAATCTTCCTGCCTCAGTCTCCCGAGTGCTGGGATTACAGGCATGTGCCACCATGCCTGACTAACCATTTTTATTTTTTAGCAGTACTAGAGATCAAACAGGAGTGTCTGCCACTGGTTATACCTCCAGCCCTTTATTTTTTATTTCAGGACAGGATCCCATTAAGTTGCCCAGGCTGGACTCAAACTTGTTCACCTTAGTTTCCTTCACTCCTGGGATTACAGGTGTGCTCCACTGTGTCTGGCATTTTTATTTTTGAGAGGGGTTTCACTAAATTGCCTAGGCTGGTTTTGAACTTTCAATCCTTCTGTCTCAGCCTCCCGAATGCTGGGATTTTAGGTGTATACCACCATGCCTGGCATGTTTTAAAAATTTAATTATTTTGTTTTGGTGCTAAGATTGAACTAAGCCTTTGCATGGAGTACAGTGCCAGACATTTTTTTTTTTACTGATTTTTTAGATAGGGTCTTATTAAATTGCTAAATTGCCCAGGCAGTCTGGAACTTGTGATCCTCCTGCCTCAGCTTCCCAGAGTGCTGAAATTACAGGCATGGGGTACCATGCCTGGCTTTTTTTCTTTTTTACATGAAAATAAGAAAATCACTTAAAAAACTGTACAATAGTTATCCATAAATCTACTATCTATATTCAGTAACAAGTTGTAAATGTTTTGTCATGTTTGATGGTTTTTATTTTTTGAGACCAGATCTTGTTATACAGTCCAGGTAGGCCTTGAACTCAGTATGTAAACCAAGCTAGCCTCAAATTCATGATGTTCTTCCTGCCTCAACCTCCCAAGTGCTGGGATTACCGGTGCGTATCCTAGGCCTGGCTCTTGCCTATTTATTTTATCGATATACTTATGTGAACTATTTGAAAACTTGTGGCATATATCATGACCTCTACTCTTAAATAATTCATCATGTACCTCTTTCTTACTTTTATTCTTCATTATGCACTTTTTTTTGACAGTGGGTCTTGCTATGTAATCCAAGCTGGCCTCGAACTCACAGCAATGTGCTGGGATTATAGGCGTGTGCCACCACACCCAGCTTTTATTTTTTATTTTGAGATTTTAAAAATGATTTTTGAGATAGGATCTTTCTAAGTTGCTAAGTTGCCGTAAGGCAGTTATAGGGATCCTTTTAGAGACCAAGTGCCCAAATTGCAACCCACTTATGTATCACAAATTGCCAACACTGCAATTAAACCTGAACACTGAGGTTTTAGTTTTGGAAAAACAACTAATACGTTAGTATCTTTTGTCTTAGAAGAAAGACTCAATAACACAGCTTTCAATGATATAAGCAGTGTTTTATTGAAAGGTAACAGTTTGGGCTGGGGATTTAGCTCAGCGGCAAAAGCGCCTGCCTGGCAAGCGCAAGGTTGTGAGTTCGGTTCCTGGTACCGGAGAAAAACCAAAAAAAAAAAAAAAAAGAAAGGTAACAGTTTGCATTTGGCATGCTTTTGCACACAAATGTGAGCTTTGCTGTTGAGTGCACGCTGATAATGTCAAACCTTGGCTCATTCTTCCTTAGTTTGAGAGCAACACATGCAGCACTCAGGTCACCTGTTATGTCTATTACTTGTATCAGATTTGATAGAATTCAAAACTGAAAGTAGTTGCTCACAAGCATAAGATGCTCCAAACAAAGTAAGAAAACCAATCCCAAGTGCTTTCATTGACTTAAAGTTATTTGGCAGAGAATTCCACATTTCAAGGATTTCATTTTCAGAACTACCTACTGTGCTGTCCTTTGTTCTCCCTTCACACTCTCTCTTCTCATGTGTTGCACACAGGTCATAGAATTTATTTTTCCAGATAGAGCCTCTTGAAATTCCAATAGCTCCATTTCCAGATTTCCAAAATCTAACCAGTATAAGCAGGAAAGTTCAAGTTCTTCAAATTTGGTTTTAACTGGAGAAGTTAAGAAAACACAGGGTTGTCTCCATTTCATGGAACTGTAAAAATCTGTTATTAAAATTCTCCTTTGGGCTGGAGAGATAGCTCAGTGGCACAGTGCCTGCCTGGCAAGTCAAGGTCCTGAGTTAGATTCCCATACCCTGCTAAATTCTCCTTGCAGTTGCTACAATGTTGGAAAATTCCTTGTAGCTTTCCTGATGGCTTGTAGGACTGTCTGCAAATGTAGAATTTTCTAAATGGGTTTTAAGATTTAGAAAATATTTTAGCTATTTTCAAGGTCTTTCTTGGCTCATGTGCCAACAGAGAGGGGTCTGCATGCCCCAGGCAGTACGCATGCCATAGGTTTGCTACCACTGTCTTAGGGTCTCACGAAGTCACTAAGTTGCCCACGCTCAGCTGGAACATGGAATCTTTCTGCCTAGTCTCCCACACTGCTGGGGTTATAGGTGTGGACCACTATTCCTGGCCTCCTCTTATGTATTTATTTTATAATATTTCATTGCCTTTTTGATGTGACCAGGCCATTTGCCTCTTGCAAAAGGACCAGTCTGTTTTGTGGCAAGTTCCTCATTCTGGGTTTACATCTTAATATTGTATTGGTGTTGAATTTTTCCTTCATTCTCTGTAAATGGCAAATTAGATCTAATAGCTTAATTCTAAACTCTCTCTCTCCCTCTCTCTCTCTCTCTCTCTCCGAGACAGGGTCTCAGTGTGTGGTTCAGGCTGGCCTTGAACTCATTATGTAGCCCAGGCTAACTCTGTGCTAGCATCTATCCTGCTGCCTGAGGCTTCCAAATGCTGGGATTATAGGTCTGTGGGACCACTCCAAGCTTGATGCTGTGTACCTCTTATTGCATCTCATCAAGAACCATGTAATGTCAAACTTTTCTACTATTAGTCATGCAAAGTTTAGTCACTTGTGTAAGGTGGTGACAGAACTCGCCTTTTGAAGTTACTTTTTTCTTTTTAAAAGATTATTTGCAAAGCCTGGCACAGTGGGGCACGCCTGTAATCCCAGCACTCGGGAGGCTGAGGCAGCAGGATCATTGAGAGTTTGAGACCAGCCTGGGCTACAAAGTGAGCTCAAGGTCAGCCTGAACTGCAGAGTAAGACCCTGTCTCAAAAAAAAAAAAAAAAAAAGACAAAAAAAGATTATTTGCAAATAATCTTTGTGGAGAGATTGGGCATCATGATAATATACTTTTCATGTACAATATTTCTTTTAAAAATGTAATGATTGGTGACACTTGCCTGAATCAATGAGTATTTCATTTATTTCATTCTTGGTTTCAGAATGGTGACTACTAACTCATTCAGTTCTACATTGCTTAGATGGGACTCTTCATAAAATGGGCTTTCCCCTATCAATTATTGAACTACAGTACTTCCTAAAAAGTAACGGTAAATGCTTAATTCTTCTTCTTAATTACTAATTTTCAGAATAAGGAGTTGATGTAATAGTCATTCAGTGTGGCAAATTAGTTTTTCTTAGCCTTTCTTTTTTTGAGTGTTATTATAGACTCAATGGGTTTTCCTCCGCTCTTGTCTTCCAAAGCCCGTTCCTTTTTCCTCTTCTCTTTGATCCATGGCGACTGCCGCCTCTCTGCGCACTTACGCCTGAGCTTTTCGGCGAGGTCGCTAGGGGCCACTAGCTTCTCTTACGCACCCACACTGTCACTCTATCTCACAATTTATCATTCATTACCGGCTATGGTCTCGCTGGTGCTGACGCATCCAAGGAGCCGCTCTAGGCTTTCCGGAGGCCATTCGCATCGCGTGGGGAAGGTCTGGACGACGCAGTCGCCTCGACGGCCCCCGGGGCGGTTAGCGCTTCCGGGGTCGAAGGGTGCGCGGGGTTGAAAGCGGGCCGCTCCGCCCCGTCCCCCTCCCAGACCAGCAGAGGCAGCAGCCGGAGCAGCCGCAGCCTGCGCCCTCTCCCGCCCGCCCTCCGCCCGCCCGCCCTCCGCCGCCCTCCACCCGCCCCGGGGTCTCTTTCCCCCTTCCTCTTCCTCCTCCTCCACCCCCCCCTTCCTCCTCCGCCCGCCCGCGGGGCCCCCCTTGCCTTCCCGCCCGCCCCTATTGTTCCGCCCCCGGCCTCCCGCCCTTCCCCTTCCCGCCCGCTCCCCTTTTCCCCTCAGTCGCCTCGCGCCTGCAGGTAAGCTTAAAAATTTCCCCTTCGCCTCGGGCTATAGCCCTTATTTCCTCTCATGCCTTGTTTCGTAGCGGTCTCTGGCCCTAGTCAGGAGCCCCGGCCTCTCGTAGTCCGGTGTGTGCGCCCGGCCCCTCACGCTGCCTGGCCGGCCATTCACGCGAGGCCCTGGCTCCGGCGCGGCCTAGTAGGCCTCGCGCAAGGCCTATCCCCCTCCCCCCCCCCGCCTTTTCCCGGTGGCGGCTGCGCAGGAGTCAAGGAGGGCGCGCGCGCGGTAGGGGGGGCGGCGGTGGATTTGTTGGTTGAGGGGGGTGGGGAGGCGATGGCCGGCTTGCTGGCCGGCGGGTGAGCGCGGCTCCCCGCGGGGGTCAGGCGCTGGCGCAGCCACACGAGGAGGCGCTACTCGCCCGGCCCCTCCCCTTGGATCGCAGCGCCCCCCCCCGACCGAACCGTTTATTTTTCCCTCTTTTCTAGTCGGAGAAAGGGGGGGCTTTTTTCTTTTTTAAGTGGAAAATGCTCGGATGACCGAGGGGAGGGGGGCTCCCTGTTACCGAGTTATTCAGGACATTCGGGGTAACGAATTTTGAAATCACAAAATGCCTGCCGATTAAACCCAGACCAAGCTATTTATAGAGGAGTAATTGACTGCAGAATTAACAGCTGGATTCCTGGGATAGCATACACGTATACTGACCTAGTCAGGAGAGAGATGACAGATTTCTTGTAGTACTTACGTGGTTTCCAGTTAAAAATGCACCTTTGTCTTTACCTCCAAGAAAGGGCTTCAAGTTTTCAATTTTGGTCTCTTTCGAACTTGCAGCATTGTGGTATTTACAAATGCTTCTTATTACATCTGCAAGAGAACAGGATTTAAACTGCCAGATTTTTACCGTATTTTAATTAAAAAAAGAAAGTAATGCTGTTAGAACCAACACTCCCACCTTCTGCCAAGCATTGTTTTTTCTGTGAGTGAAAAGTGTCCGCTTGTGGAATTTTGGCAGCAATGAACTATTCTGAAAAATAGAGAAATGATGTTCTTCAAGGGTGCACTTATATAATCACTTACATTGTGAAGTAGCCAGGGGACAGTTTGCTATATGCAGAACGGTGTGGCATCTACTGAAACATTTTGAAAAAATTTTAGTATATGGACTTTGTGGTACAGCCCAATTGAAACAGTGTCTGGTTTTGTAAAGGTGGAAATTTAGCTGTAGAGGAAGGAGATCATTAATGTTGAATTTTGAAGGGATGTATACCACGTTATTGGAGAAATTTAACTTGCGAGAGATTCTTTTACAGCCTTTAGGATTAGGTGTAAGAAGATAATGGAAGACCATAAACATCCAAAACCAAATTCTCTTTCTACACATCACTAGTTACTCCAGAGCAGAACTATTAGGAACATTGTTTCAAAGGATGAGTGGGGAAAACACTGTCTTGGATAGAAAAGACATTGCTATTTAAAACAATAACAACATACATTTGTAGTAGTACCAGTTGTTCTCTTTGGGAAGAGGTTCAAGATTTAATAGGTTTACATAAAAAGTGAGTGGTAATGAAACTTTACACAGAAGCAAGGGAGATTATTTATGTGTAATGGTCAAGTTGGGTTGGGAGAAGGAATAGGAGGAAAGGACTCAATTGTACTTACTGTATAGGGTCATATCCCTAGGGACAGTATGGAACCTTGGCATACATGGGAGAGGTCTCAGATAATGCCTTTTTCAGAGGAGTTGTTGACCTAAATCTTTAAAAACTCATTTAATAATTTAAAAACACATCAGTATCTGAAATTTGTAATGTAGGATGCATCTGAATTTATTTATCTAGAAATTGCTGCTACCACTGTAAGAAAATTTACATGAGTTCCCTAACTTTCTGTTCTGTTGCCCAGTAGGAAAGCAAAAGGTCATTTTGCCTCCTACTGTAGTTGCTTAGAGGTTTACCCAGGTATTTGTGAAACCTTTCGAAGCCTCTTGTGCTGAAGGACAACTGAGTGCACATTCAGCAGTTCCCTTACAACTATTGCCAGTGAAGGGAATGTTCTTCATCCTGAGAGTCAGCAGAAACACTTTTTATTAGTGAGAGCAAACTGGAAAGTCGTCTTCTTTACGCTGTAACAGAACCTGAGCTGTAATGTTGCACAGTTGTGCTGAGTGTGTATGAGTCTGATAGGTTGTCGTTTAGGAAAAATAGTAAATTGGAAAATACTGATAATGGTGAAAATAACTAGGAAATAATTTGTTTTCCTTCTTTGATTTTGGTCATGTTTGCATTTCAGTTTTTGGCTTTGACCCCCACCAGTGACCAAAGACTTGACCACTCAAAAAGTCCAGCTCCCCATAGTACTCGACATGGACACCGGTGTGATTGAAGGTGGATTAAATGTCACTCTCACCATCCGGCTACTTATGCATGGAAAGGTATGCACCAGTTTGGGAAATTGGGTCATAGTAACTGCTAGGGGAGGGGCCAGGAAGAGCAGACCAGCATCTTGGAGCTCATCAGATTAGCACTGTGGGGCGTCTGGCTTTAGCACTGTTCTCTAATGAAATAAATGTGAAAGTGGTGGGGAAATGGACAGATTTTAGTAGGAAGCTCCACTGAGCAGGAAAGGCTTAGCTAGAGGTTAGAGCCAAAGACCGCCTTGTACCTGGATGGTAAGATTTTTCTAATGGGACTTGGTATAGTTTGTAATAGATTTCCCAAATAATTTTAAGAAACTTTAAGGGAGGAAGACATAGTTGGTATTTTAAAGTAACTTATGTTAAGTACAAAGGTATATATTTAATTACTCTTGTATGATTAAATACAAAGGTATATATTTAATTACTCTTGTATGATTAGTCCCTCAAAATTCTTTGACAGCTTCCCTTTTTTTTTTCTTTTTTGAAACAGGGTTTCTTTTTTGAGGGAGGTACTGGGAATCGAACTCAGGACCTTGCGCTCGCCAGGCAGGCACTTGTGCCACTGAGCTACATCCCTGGCCCTTAAAAGAGGGTTTCACTGTTCCGTTCAGGCTGGCCTGGAACACACTTTGTCGCCCAGGCTGGACTTGCACTTTTGCTCTTCCTCCTGTTTCAGCCTCCTGAGTGCTGGGATTTACATTCGTGTGTGCCACCACACCCAGCAGTTTCACTCTCAATGATTGGTTCACTTTTTTTTTTTTTTTTTTG